CGCCCCTGGGAATTTAAAGACAACAGGATTACGCGGTGCTTTTGTTTCCATCGATCCATCGTCATCGTTTGATCCGCCAGAGACGGCGAACGTAAACAAACAGAAACTCAAAACCCCTATTCCAGTGGCCCTTCGTACCAAAGAACCCGAAGCTACCCTTCAACCATAACCCCGAAAGGAGCGTCGAAACAGGTGTCCGACGCCATTTCTCACCTTTCACCCTCCGTTCACCTATCCACCCCACCCCCCAAAACGCAATCAACCCTTCCCCCCGCGAATTCTGCTCGATCCGATTCCATTTTACGCGTCGACCCCCCGAAAATTGAACGAACATCCCCGGAATCCCGAGGACGGGACGAGAGTCATTCTTTCGATGACTTTCCGCTCGAGATCGACGCGCGAAGATCGAGACAGGAATCAGAGGAGGCAGGAAGAAGCGATCGTACTCGAGGAGCGATGGAAAGCCGCGCAGCAGCGCGCAGGATAATTGCGTGCGCCGATACACGGTTGGCCTATTACCAGCGCGAAGAGAGGAAGAGGGAGCGAGAGGGTGAATGTAATATATACTTTGCTCCGGGAGGCGACTTCACCCCCCTACGGTCTGTCCTGCTCCGTCCCCGGTCTCCCGTTTCGCTCGCCCTTCGGGGGTGCGTGCGCGGACGCGCGCGCCCTTCCACGCGGGGTGCGTGCGCGCATATAAATGGAAACCCTTCAAGTAGCCTCGGTGCCCGCGCTGCCATCCACCTCGTGTGCGTGTGCCCCCCTCTGTACGCGCTCCTGGATTACCAGCGACGGGGGTGGCGCGGCGAGGGCTGCCTCGGCGACGATAGTGCAAGCCGACGGCTAGCCCCTTCGATTCCGCTTTCTTCTTCTTTTCTATCTACTTTCGCCACTCTCCTACGTTACTCGCATTCACTGGGTTACTCTCGCACGCAACTTTTCGCGCGATTGAAATTCGCCGCTGGAGGGGGAGGAAATTTTCGTAGGACGAGGTTTCACGGAAAATTCTCGACGAATTCTCTTTTAAGCTTCTGTTTTAGAGTCGACGCGATTATTCAATGACAGATCGATATTTCTGAACGTATGTACGTATGATGACGTTATTGCATGGAGTATGGTGGCTTTTAAATTTTAAATTTAACCCTTTGCACTCGACGAGCTTTTGGTAAAGATGAGTAGGAGTTTAAGGATTTTCTTGCTATAAAGCTGGCGATATTTCTTTCAGTAATAAATAACAAATCGTATAATAATTAACACGTAGAATCATTTGATTTCGATTGCTCGCACACCGTTACATTTTCTTAAATTTCACGTATTAATTAATATCGATCTTCGAAATTTTATCCAATGGTGACTGACTGTCACCTCTCGGGTGCAAAGGGTTAATATCAGAGACAGATAAATTGATAAATAAATTTGAAGATTTGAGATAAAATAATCGTTGCTACCTTTGCAGTACTTTAACTTTGCATATTAGAGATCGAAAGAGATCTTCGCGGGATTTAAAATTGTGGCTGTGGCTAATAGCCTGAAATGCGAACTGTGGAAACTTATTGACTGATAGATCGATATTTCTGTACAACGATTTAGGGAAAATAGTCAGATCGTGCCTAGTATATGCGTATGATGACATGATTGAAAGGAGTCCGAAGGTTTTTAAATCTTAAATTTAATATTAAAGATAAAAAAATACATAAATATATTTGGAGATTTGGGATAAAATAATCGTTGTTATCTTTGGGGTACTTTAACTTTGCATATTAGAGATCGAAAGAGATCTTCGCGGGATTTAAAATGGTGGCTGTGGCTAATAGCCTGAAATGCGAACTGTGGAAACTTATTGACTGATAGATCGATATTTCTGTACAACGATTTAGGGAAAATAGTGAGATCGTGCCTAGTATGTACGTATGATGACGTTAATGTAAGAAGTACGAAGGTTTTTAAATTTTAAATTCAATAATAAAGATAAAGAAATAGATAAATAAACAAACTTGAAGTACTTCAAGTTTGCATATTAAAGATCGAAAGAGATCTTCGCGGGATTTAAAATGGTGGCTGTGGCTAATAGCCTGAAATGCGAACTGTGGAAACTTATTGACTGATAGATCGATATTTCTGTACAACGATTTAGGGAAAATAGTGAGATCGTGCCTAGTATGTACGTATGATGACGTTAATGTAAGAAGTACGAAGGCTTTTAAATTTTAAATTCAATAATAAAGATAAAGAAATAGATAAATAAACAAACTTGAAGTACTTCAAGTTTGCATATTAAAGATCGAAAGAGATCATCGCGGAATTTAAAATGGTGACTGTGGTTAATGTCCTGAAACGCGAACCGTGGAAACGCGTGATATGAATGATCGAACGACGTCCCTACTGACGTAGATGTCGCGTTAAACACCCTAATAAAAGAATACCCTTTCATAACGAACCCTGTATCGTTGTTTGAATCAGGCTACCGGAGAGATCTAAACGGAGCAAAATCACCGAGGAACTTCCCATTACGTCGTATCTCGTTCCGAATCTACATCGTGTAATGAAAGTAAATTTTACTCGACCACCGCGATACGTGAACCTCGCAAATACCATGTACCCTGTACAACCCTCTACGTCTACCAATTATTCGAAAACCGTTCGAAAATCACGATCCCGGTGCAACGCGTTTAGAACCTTCGAATACCCGAGGAAAGGCGTTATTCCGGAAATGCGGAGCCCTGAAGTCGGTATGAGAAAAATTGCTGAAAACACAGGGAACTGCTCGACGAAGGCAGGAAGCTCTCTCCGGCATCGAACTCTCGAGCTGCGAACACGGCTGGTACACGGCGAGGGATCCGAGGCGTCTTGAGGCCATCGCTAGTCGCAGCCGGCGAGGGTGGGAAGCGCGTAGAGCACAAGTGCACGCAGATAGTCGATGTTAGGTGCGTTGCACGAGCGCTTACGTGCCTAGAAATTCACCCCTTTTTTTCCTGCTCTCTCTCCGGCGCAGGTGGCGGGAGAGAGGGTGGTCGGCGAGGGTGGCCGCGGGACGGAAGGCTGCCAGGCCTCGAGAGTGAATACGGCACACAGGAGCGGCACGCACAAGTACACCGTTTCGCAGAGAGTGGAACGAAATCTATAGCACGCACTTACGCGGCCGTATATGCGTGTACGCGTACGCGTACGCACCCGCCGCACCCCGAGGACACCAGCGGCGAGGGAGAGGCCGGGGGAGAGGGAGAAGCTTTCAATTTTTCCTGCTGCCTTCGCGACCAGCCGGAAGCCGAGATTCTCGCGGAAGAATACGCGCCATCCATGGGCGTAGCCTAGCCCTAGCACGGCACCGCGTGTTCCGATATATCTGCGCAACCTTCCGATACGACTTTGTCATTATTTTCCCTTTTTTCACCCTCCGATCGGTTCTCGAGAGAACGCGAGAGACCTCGAGCTCTCCTCTCGCGAACTTGCGGTAGCTTACGAGATATCGTTATTCGCGATCTTCGAGGATCAGGCGGATGTTGGTACTCTTGGGGAGTTGGTAGTAATGGTACGATTATTTCTACGTGGATCGAAGGGAAAAATTTTTGAATTTTTAGTCATGTCGGAAGTATTTTCTCGAAGTGGCACCCGGAATCTTAGGTGACCGCCAAACCGGTCATCGGAAGCGAGGATATTCCTCACGACCCCCCACCCCTTCACCCGATCTAACGTAATTTTCTGTATCCGAGAATTCGTCAATTTTAATCCCCCGAATTTTCATCCACGAGCTATCGTGTCTTCCCGCCATCTCGATCTCGAAAGGCCTCGTTGAACCATCCCCGTATACTATTTCGCGAGAGGTGAAATTCGTCGCGTTGCGATTTAAGGAGAGAGAAAGAGAATTTTCCGAGTACTGGTGTTCGACTACGCAACGGAAATGGAAGGAAGGAAACCGTGGCGACGCGGAGGGTTGAAAAGTCGAACGATCGTAAAAAAGCCGCGTAGAACGAAGGGTGTGCGTGGCCTCGCAGAGAGAAAATTCCGCGCATCCTGCGCGTGTCTGACCTCCTGATGCGAGGTCGTATCCGCGTTTCGCAACGATCCACGCGGCTTAACCTATATCGCCCTCTGTCCTTGATAAACAGTTACGATCGGCCGTGAATCGCTTTCCGCGCGATACGCCGCGAGCACGGCGACATCTGTCGCGTGCAAATTAGAAATTTGGATCGGGTTTCGCTTCGTCCCCGCCGTGACGAAAATTGCCACGCACCGGTTTACCACGCAGTCGATTAGTTTTCGATATTTCGATTTGGTCTACAGTATCCTGAGAAGAGAAATGGAGATGTTCTTTCTTACCGATTTTCCGTAAATATTTCCCGCGGGTTACGTCGCGATGCGTAAATGCAACGTCGACAACGGTGTCCTTGGAACTACGACGCGTGCTACTACACTTCGAGAACACTTTTCACGAGTTTGTTTCGAGCGACGATCGATGGTCCGTGAACCGGCGAACCAGCCTACGTTTTTATCTTGACACGCGAGACGTAGTGTAAGACCGCATCAATTATCGATGCCGATGCTGTCACGTCGTGCAGGTTAAACGATAGCGCGTAACGTGCGGCTTGGAAAAGCGTGAAGTTGGTAACGTATTTCGAGCGAGGAATCGCGCAAGGATCTGAATTTCGAGGTAAGTAGCGACACCTGTCGGCAAAGTGTCGTACTAATCCTGACGGTTATAATTTACTAACTTGTTTTTATTCTTCCATGGTTTTTACAGGTTTAAATATCCCTAAGATTTAATGCTACGAAAATCGTAAATGTAAAATCACGATGGATATCGACTAATTTAAATGTATTAATCTTCATTACCAACTATAGACAAAATTCGCGCGGCACATGGAAATACTCGTATAAATAGTCGTACTACGTGAATGCTTCTACGTTATTTATGCCAATATTTTTTCCGGTGAAATGTTAATACGATATAAAAAATATAACTAAGCGTGTAATTAAGTTAGAATTAATGTTTCAAGTTCACCTTTCTTTCTCCGCAAATTGAAGCTTCGTCGACATTCTTCTCTAAAATTCGTGACATTCGCTTATTTATTCACGTACGAGTCCACAATACATTTCGAGGAACTCTTCTGTCATACATTCCTTTGATTAATCGTCGTGACAATCCACGCCTTTTTCGCTTTACGATTCCAAAGTGCGACAATATAATTTGCCTCCGAGAAATCATCGCGAGGGGTTTATAATACTGCGTCTTTCGTTGATAAACAGATGCAACTCAAGTTTGCCCTTCAATCAAATTTTTCGCCAACTTCGCGCCTCGTTTGGCCTAGTTTTTCAGTAATTCGCCAGAATTTCACAGGTGCAGCCATGAGGGAACCAGAACACATCGGTATACAGCTGATTTCCGCTTCCTTCCAGTGCCACCAACCGCTTTTGGACATACTGCTGCTGACATCTACTGGTGTATCCCGCAGGAACGGAACAAATACCGTTACAAACGTTTGTCCTACGAAAAGTTTCAAATAGAGTTTGACGTTCTTTTTCATTTTTTACAATTTTAAAGTTCTTATAAAATACAATGTTAAAAATACTCGATATAAAATTGTAAATCATTTTATTTTTAATTTTAAAAACAAAATTCGTTATTTAGAATTTTTAATAGAAAAAGTGACACGTGGCTAACATCGATACACGAGATGCTTGGTAGAATGGCCACATTATTTCCTTCACGTATTTCTATTTCAAACGTCATTTTTTTTATTTCAATTACGATTACATCAAGTAAATAAAATTGAATATAAAAATACTTACGTGCATTTCTCGCTTTTCACAACCTGCGAATATTTCCTGTTCTGATCCTGAAGGTTCACCACGTACATCCAGTTTCCTTGATTGTTAAGCGCCGCCCTCGGTGTGATGTACTGAGCCTCTGTTGGACAAAGTGGGATCGCATCGAGATTTGACTGCCTCCTGTTTCGCCCTCTGTTCGATTTGTTGTATTTCAACAACGGATTTTCGAACGTCGTCCGTGGTGCAATTTTATTGCTCCTCGCGTACCTGAATGAGTAAACAAAAATTTATCGGTTATTAACCTCTCGTATTTCTAATCAAAACCGATCGACTGCGAATGAAATTCAACTGTACGGATACAACGAACGTGTTCGATAACGAACGCGTGGCGCGTCGATTGCATAATTAATTAATAAATACGTATGTTTCGATCGTTATCTTCGAGATTTCTTGCCGTGACGATTGCGGCATAAATTAACTGTTGCGAATAAATATCTGAACAGCGATAATCGGTATTAGTTATCGGTTCGCGGGTTTATCACAACGAATGAAATGATACACGTTATCTGTTACGCTTTCGTCTCTCTGTATCTCCCACCTGCTCTAGAGAAGAAATTAAAAATAGCAGAGTATTAAACCCAATAGGAAAAAGCGAATATAACATCGGAAATTTATACTACAGAAATGCTCCTCACCCGGTAAATCATTTACATCTTCCAACGAACCTACTCTGTCTATTTAAAAAACAATTTCCAAAATTCCGCATCGTCAATCTGATATAAAAAGAAACAAAATTTCTCTCGCCACTCCTCGATTCCATCAGTCCATTTATCACTCTTGAATCCCATTGCTCACCTCGCAAAGCTATAACAGACTATTGCTGTACAACTGCACCAGTGTCATCGTTATTCCAGAAGTCAATATTAAAGTAATCACCTGTTCGTCCACCACGCTTGACCCTGTCCAAAGGAGTTCAAGGCCTGTGGCTGAGCGTAAAAGGGACGATCCGACTGGGCTTGTTGTCCCGTAGGATGGTACTTGACAGGCGTCGTCTCGTCCCCCAAGAATGGATTCCTCTGGGTCGGCGTGGTGTACCTGTAGCTACGAGGAAGAGGAAGCTGGGTTACTCGATCGGCGAGAAACGGTGTGAGTAAACCGAGAATTCGGTTGACGCGAAATTAGCATCGAAGTTACCCATTCTGCTGAGTGTCGTTCGACGAGGATCCGTAAATGAGCGTCGGTTGCCCTTGAACGGGATACTGAGGCGGAGGCAGGAACGGTAACGAGTGTAATTGGCCCTCCCCTTGCGCCGGGTAATCATAACCCTCGGAGTAATCCGGGACCGACCTTAAACAAGAAGACGACGTCATTGATCCATTTTCGAACGTGGCGTTTCGTAGATTTTTGGACTGGTAGATTAGGATGATCAGTTCGAGATGACGGTGTATTTTTTGAGCTTATGGCTAACGCGTTTCGAAGTAGGGGATGTTTTTGCTCGGGTAAACAGAATGCGATGTTCGGGATGTCCCACGTTATTTCTGACAGACGGAGCTAGCCTGTTCTACGAGTAAAAGTAAGAAAAAAAAGATGTTATATAAACAGAGTCTTGTGAACGCTATATTAGAAAGTTATAACAAGCGTACGAAATGGTTCCACGTTCGATACAGCGTGGGAACAAATCGGTGACATTTACTTTAGCGCCATTTATAAAGCGTTGCATTCTTATACGCGAAATTGATGTCGATGAGAAATTGGATCTAATAATAGTATCGATAGTAAATAATACCATGATAATAAGAACTATAAATAGTTTATCTATTAATTCCAGATGCGCATCGATTTTTGTTTAATAGATTTTCTTCTTCAAATTTTTCCACGAGAAAAATCCAACGATGCATTTGGTGATGCCAGATATCACAGGCTATAGATATAATTCTCGATCTGTCCATCGTCGATGCTCGTTTAACCATTGACAGTCTAATGCTCGATTATCCAACGTGAAAGCAGTCGGTCGTTGTTTCGTATTTTTATTTTAACTTTTTAATGAAGCCCTCGTAAACCGATGTTTATGCAGCACTTTTTTCTTACTTTTATTCTGGAACGGTTTGGCAGGAAAAAAAAAGAAGCACTCTGTGTTGTTACCGAAGTATAAGTAGAATGTATACTGTTGAGAAAATGAAGTGATTTATACACGAGGCACTCTGTGTTGTTACCGAAGTATAAGTAGAATGTATACTGTTGAGAAAATGAAGTGATTTATGACGCAAATCAGCAGAGTCATTCTCTGAGAAAAAAACAAAAAAAAAACCGCTTTAAAGACTAGGTATACCTCGGACAAATGGAAATAATGTACCTGTAAACATTGAAATCATCTTTGGACTCGTCTTTCAATACAGAGCTGAAGTCGAAGCTGCATTTGTCCACGAGAAATTTAATCAATCGTCTGCAACAGAAAAGAAAAAGATGTTAAGTATCCATGCGTGAATTACTGATAAAAAGGGAAATATATATAGGACAATGTAGTTTCTCGACTATGTTCTCGAAATGATCTTTGACCGAAGATCAGTCGATGCAAATGAACGATGACATTTGTCACGGTAACGAGTCAAGTGACGTGCACGATTTCTTGACCGAACTATAATGGAATCGTGTCAGAATAAAAAATTACTTATCTATCCCATGTATTATTCATCAGTTCGCAGAAGCCAGGTTCCACGACCGTACAACTTCCTCTCATACCTTATGACCGTATGAAATTAGAAAATTGGATAATCATATTTCTTGCTATCCTGCTGTAGTCCATTGCAAATCTAACACGAGGGAACAGGGACACCTCGACGAAGGTGTAAGATCTTAATTTCCATTTTTCAAAGAGAAATCTCGGAAATAGATTACATACATTAACCACTGTCGAAACTTTCAAAAAGCCATAAAGAGAGAAAACGAAAGCAAACGATATAACGTCGTTCCGTGTATGACATTCGGTTCTCCGCGATTCCCAAAATACCTGCCGTCACCGGGTCTAAAAATTCTCAAGTACCAAGAAGAAGAGAGGCGGAAAAGGATTCCTGCGTGTACCTAAATCATTATCGATCGTTACAGGCTCGGTAATAAAATACACACGAATCGATCATCTTGCGACCCACAATTTTGTGCAAAGTGTGCCCGCAAACACGCACACGAATTTCGCGCGTGGCCAAAGGCCCGCGAATCTTGGAACTTTCTCCATTGGTGAAAGACGTGAGCTAGAAGATATGTCCCGATGTTTAATTCATGGTCCACGCCTAAAAGCTGTTTTCTCGCGGGCTGCATCTCGATCAGCGTCGTGGTGCTTCACCGGCCCGACCAACTTTCCAACGGGTGATTCGTCAATGGACGACGGAAGTCCAGAGAGACAGGGATTGACCTCGAATCCGAAAACGTCGTTTTAACTCACAATCTTGATCCCAACGTAGTGCTTGACCCACGTATATCCTCGAATGTTTCCGACTGGTCGTCGACCATCTGTCTTCTTTTGGTTATCGTTTGACGGTGATCACGAAATTCTCTGACTCCTTGGTATCCTTTTATGTTCATATCTTTATACGTCGTATTTTTCATCCTCCTTTTTCTTTCTTCTTATTATTTTATTTCTATATTCTCCACATTTTTAAGCTCCTCCGTTAATAAGTATCGTACCCCTTCAAATTAGAAAAGAAAGGATGAATAATTCGGTCAACATGAGTTTCCTATACAATACCCCGTTGAATATTTAAAAACGATAACGAGGTATTAGAAAGTTTCGTTAGGCGTTTTACAGGTGAGAACATTTCACGCCATAAGTATTCCCCGACTGTTTAACCGAATATTTAATCAATATTCGAAACTAGAAATTCCATCAAATGAAACATTTTACAGATTCCTAATCGAGATTGTAAAGAACGTTTCGCTTTCCTGTTTCAACGTAGTAGGTCTGCGAATTAATAAAACGGCTGATGCATTCAGCAATATCTCACGTAGAGGAAAATGAACTGGATGAAAATCTGTCTGAATTGGCGGGAAACAGCGGACAATGCGGGGTATTAACATTTCCTGTTATGCACGCCGCGTTACCACGCGTCTGCAGACAATTGCACCGGCGCGCTGCCGTCTAGAACTCGTTCATCAACGATAAACACTCGCAATCGTCGTTTCCTTAAATCTTCCGTAATCCCCGGTACATGCGCGTAAATACCAATTCCCAGTAACTGATCGCGTTGATCTATCCAGATTTACGAGGCAGAGTAATATGCTGATCCGATGACATTATGCAAGTAGTATCAATCAAGGATAACAAATGGAACGATGCAAAAAAAATTCCATTACGACTGCGATACAGTCTACGACGAAAGACGAAGTGTGCCATTTTGAAGTTTGCAGAATGCAGAATGCGGAACGTTTGAGAAACAAGCAACTTTCTAACTTGACAATTACCCAATTTTTAGAGAAGTCCCATATTACGAAGTGTAGATTCAATAGAAAGTACTGAACGGGACGGCCGTTCGGCTCGATACACGTTTTTGCACGTCTGCTCAAACAAGTCGGAAGTGCATGAGGGAATCCTTTCACGCTGTAACAAGTATCTTCGATTTGTTCTAGTCGACTAACGCTTACTATCTACGAATGCTATGTAGCAGTTCCTGGAGACTTTCCTTATCCGATGGTACACTTGCGCGATATTTCTATCGGCCTAGAAGAAAAATGAACGTTACTTCAGCTAGCAATACTAGAGATTACTGTATGTCCTGTATCGATTACCGTTCTCGTTGTTGGATAATAAGTTAATCTCTCGGAACTCGTTAGATAGAGGCAGCAGCACGGAAATGGAGGCGTCGCAACAGAAATGGTATCCGGTATCGTATGGAAATCCATGGGGCTGACTAGAAACGATCGTCTGCGCCGATAAATCTGTTACCTTCCACGAACGACCTCTCGCCGCATCGATGGAACTTTGAATCGCTAGAGTATGAACTCGATCCGTAACGGTTCCGATAATTATCTAGCAGGGCATGACCGCGTCAAGGCCATGGTCACGCTACGATGATCAAGGAATTAAACGTATCGGAACGACGTCCGTTTTTACGTAATCGTTTATCGCTTTCGAATCGATCGTGCTCAGGCGCAAAAAGATGAAGGAATGATCCTGAAAATGATAAGAATGAATTAATTACGTTCGATCGCTCTTGTTGTCGTAATGTTATGGTACATTTTTCCGATCCCATTTTTCTCGTCGTCATTCACGACGTTCCTGCGATATTTCAGAGCAAAAATAAACGAAGAAATAATATAGACAGTGGCTATCGGAAAAAGGAAGGTTACACCGATGTATTAAAGAACTGAAACGTTTTTCCTGCACCGAAGATGCTCTTGCATTCGAGAGAATAATTGAAGAAATACTACGATGATCGACAGACAGGAAGAGGATACCCTGATAAGTTGAAAGTCGAAGCTAATCGACGGTCAGTCCTTCGTGCAAGGATATCGAAAGACGTGTATTTGCCAACCTCTTCTTCGTCGCACTTCCGGTTTCGAGCGAACAGTTTTCGGCGAGACACGAACGGAATAAAAGGCGAATGGCGTAAGAACGCGACGATTTCCAGGATATCGTTGGAGCAATTTCGAGCAAGTTCACTATCCTGGAACTTTCCCTTCCCGAAATTCGTCGCGCCACGCACGATCAGCTGTTTTGTATGCAGAAATGGTAACAGCCGTGACGCTAGGAATATTAATAACGGGACGGTGAATCATATTTTTACAAATTCCGCAGACGTGAGACTTTTGGAAACTTAAGGAAGTAGTTTAACCCATTCTCGAAACTCCTTCTTGGCACTCGACGATACGCACTTTGCACCTTGTACTGATAAATCTCAGAATTTAGACTAACTATCGTATTTCACAAGTAAAACCAATCATCATATATCCCGCTGAGTCTCATTTTCTGAATTAATCGAGCATAACTTGACAGGGTAATTACGTTAAGTACATATTGCCACTCGATATCTTTCTAGTTATCAGGTATATTACGTATATTACACGTGTTTATTAAGCAGCTGGAATGTCCGTAACGGTTATCTTTGTTAAGAGCTGCAACTTACAAAATGCAGATCTTCTGGAAACTGTAAAATATAAGCACACTTGTTATGCAGCATCTACAAACGATTTAGCGTTTTACGAAACTTCTTCGGATAGTTTGTTTGATTCCGCGTCCGTTCGTTTCGCCACGAGAATCCCTCGTAAACCCACGACTCATTCTTCATGCGCGACGAATGATCCAATTCTATCGATCGTTTCGCGCGATTAGTTGACCGAGGACAGACAACAAACGACCGATACCTTGAAATGATAATGTCTGGTTCTCGCGCGGCTGTTAAAAGGCAGTATTATCATGCAAATGCGATAATAGGCCTGACATCATAGATCTGCCATGCGGTATCCCACGAGCATTGTGTGTGCGTAAGTAGCACACTGCAACGACAGCTCTTTTTCGCGAGTCTTGCAGAAACGCATCCGGTGTCTGTGTTATGTCATTTTGCTATCATTTTTTTAAATGTACACTCCCCGTGATAAAACGGACATATCGTTATCTGGATGCCGGCTGAAAAGATAGTAAACTTCAATGACTGTTCTCAACTTGAAAAAAGATTCAATACCTAATTTTCTTGTCCACTTGGCTTTCAAAGAACTGGCGTAAAAAGACCCTCTGATGGCGAACTTCATATTCAATGACGTACACTTTCGACCAAGTACCTTTTCAAATGGTGATCACCGAGTTTACTTTATCTTTGCTAATTATTCAAAAAGTAACGAAACGAGGACGAACGCTCATTATTCTTCAAGCGGGCTTGAAGTAGCTTAAGAACAATAACAAAATAGATAAATCTTCTACCTTTCATTCATCAAAAGCTTCTTAAGATACTAATCAATTTTTCCTCCGTATAACGAACTCTTGTCTTACAATCTACAAACTTCTTCCTTTATTGAACGAAATCACCTCCTTACCGGGGATAATGATCAAGACTTTCACAGAACGTTTGTCCCGGTTTTGCGCAATTTGGAGTGTGTCCTGGAGGTGCAGGTACAAAAGGCTCGTACTGTGGTCGTACTGAACATCCGTACTCGAAGCAAGGCTCGCTGTCCGCGTTCACCAAGGATCCCTGGAACCAAATCGAGAATAATGTTTTAAGGGTCTTGATGCGACAATTGCAACGGCGATTAAGTACAACGGGGCTCGAGTATACGAAATGCTTGTCTTCCCCAGTCGATTAGAGAAAATTACATTTCGATCTTCCGCGAAAAACCACATTAATGGCAAGGTCTTTACGAGAACGAATGACGAAACGTACGAAATCCTGTTGCCCCAGATTTGACTGGCATTTCTTTCTCTACACGTGGCGATAAACAGGATAGAGTTGAAAAAAAATGAAAAAATTTGCAATATTTTCTATTTAACGAGGATAGAGTTTCCACTGATGAAACAGAATTAACGTAACTGGAACGTTATTTGTATAAAATTTCTGTAAAGATTATTAGGAGAAATCCTCTGGTCGGTTATTGCGGAACCCCAGTGAATCATGCTTCTCTGAAATGATTCCATTGGCTCGCGGCGCTATATAAGGAATACTAAATCTAGGCTCTCCTACCTATATTAAAAATAAAAATATTAACGGTCAATCTCATTAGCGTTTGTAATTGCCTGGACTTAAATCATTTATCATGTTTGCGTAAAAAGGTGATGCTGCTATTCGTGAGTTTGTTGTCATCGGACTATATTGAAGTTAGAACATTATGGCTGCCCGTATTATCTGCGCCAATCAGCGAAACGAATTTAAATATGATGTAACAACCTTCAGTAACATCGAGGATTTTCATACTGGCTTTCAGCTGGATCCTCGTATAATACGATTAGTCTCGTTTCTTATCGAGTTCTGAAAGTACGAATATTATGAAATAATTTTTGTTTAATATGAATGTTTAATAAAATTTCATGAAATGACAATGAAATATTACCCGTGATTCGAGAAAAAAATGTTGATATTAAAAGAAGAAATTTTGTTCTAACGTAACCTCACTTATCGTTCGCGAGTTGACAACGAAAGAAATTGATCAGCTTGAATTTCGATCGATCGAGATGAATCGCCCTTGCATCAACGCGGTATCATAATTAGATATGATTATGCCCGTTTTATGATCACTTACTCGTGTACTAAATCGTTCCTTTATTTTCATCCATGTTACATCCGGTGTTACAAAAAGCTTGAATCCATCAGCTACTGACGCAATCTTACAAAACGTATAGAGTGTCTTACGCCAGATATTACGATACGCGTCAGACTTGAACATTACATTTCACTCGTGGCTTTCACCGTACAAGAAACTACTCGTTCTACAGATCGTAGTTCACTATGATGTCTGACACAGTAGTCACGTGTGCGACCGCAAAATGCGTGGCCACTTGTGGAATATTCGACTCGAACGAATTGGACCCTTAAGCTTGACCGGTCGGTAAAAACATTCGTATATGATGGTAATTCGTTAATTGGACTTTCGAATGTTTACAAAAATTATTTCCAATTGCCTATTTTTTTAGATGCCTCTATCCATGAATTTTTCCATTTATATTTCATAAGCTTCGTGTTGTAACAATGAAAAAAGGTTCGGAATAATCCTATACACCGGAACTGTTTCATTCACCGCCAGGTTAGAAAGTTACTCGTTATCCTTATCGTTTCTAACCACGTCAAGTTTTAAGTGAGTCCAGTAAAAGTTCCGTTTCGATCGTAATACACACATACGTACACAGAGATTACACACTAGTGTTCTAAATCTCCGGAATCGCTGAACCGATTCGAACAAGGCGTGACGCATGAAAATGTTGTGGGCTGTCACACAAGTCGAATAAAGCGAGCTATTTATACTTTTTCTTTCAATAATATGTCGATAGAGGGCATTCCCTAATGATATGAATTGAAATCTATCGTTATCGTTAGATCGATAATTTATCATTAAGACATAGAAATGCGGTTAACCTCGAATTACGCTTTTTAATAATAAAACTATATTTCTACTTACAATCGCTAATAAGGTTAGAAACAATTTCATTTTCGAAATGGTAGAATATCAAACACTGGTCACCGTAACAGTTTCAGTTTGAAAACACTTCACTGCGTTCAAACAATTGTATCACCGGCTTTCTTACCGAACTTAACCACACCGCGACACCTTTCGCGAGGGCTGATAATTTACCAAAAACCGAATCACATAATTGTTGACATTACGCAAGTCTCACGGAACGGGGTTACCGTGACACGATAAACGATTATCCGTTCAGTGAAGCACGTGGCGGTATCCGCGGATGCGCTTCGCAAGCTAGTCGGATCGCGGAAACGCCGATGTGCAATCATCGAGTCATGCGTGGCGCGAGTGTTGACAGGTATTGTTGGCCGCGAAAAGATACGCCTCGCCGCACGAGCGATTAATTTCCCCAGGAAAAACAATTTTTTAAAGATGGACTCGACGCGACTAAAGTACAAAACAATTAATCGTATATGGACGTGAATCACTAAAACGCGAGTGAAACGTGATTGAAACTAGTGAATCTTTTCATCGTATATTGGATTTAAGTTTCGAGTTACGTTCGATGCAAGGAGGCAAAGGTGACAGCCGAGTTCGCACGTTAGATTGATTATATGCACCACTGGGTAACGATATGGTCGAACTGTAGAGAACGAGTGTGACCGTCGATACCTTAGTCACCGCCACTGTCACTCGTATATATGTATTCCGCGGCGTTGAGTTCAGATTCCGTCGGGGTTTGTCCTGTGCGATTTTACGCGCGGCGATCTTACCTAGCAACGTGGGTAACTCGGTGTACCGATACCCATACTCGCGCTCGTACCCCTTCCTCTTGCATGCGTGCACGAGTTCCGATCTAGCGTCGGGGTGGGGTGTACAGGTATATACATACTTTCACTAGTGTCCGTGTTCCGTAGCGTGCGCCATTCGACCTTACCCGTTGACGACGATCGTGTCGCTAGAACGAGATCAATGAAATTGCGTAAAGGAGAAGGTCGACTACTTGTTGGCTTTACCTTTATTTTCTTTATTGATGACAGGCATTGAATCGAGTTTTGTGTATGACTTCCTTTTACGATGAAGCTAAGGATTAGTTTTGAATAGAACACATTTATCGGTTGTAAATCGAATGACTTATGTAGTGTAGAAAATTTCATAATTAAAAAGTTCATAAAAATATATTTGCTTTAAGACAATGCTCTAAGAGAAAATGCTTTTTAGTAATTATATTTTCTATAAGAATTCTTTTCTATCTTTTCGATATCCTTATCGTACTTGAAGAAATGTGAATATTTTGGACAATAATAATTTAATTGGTGTAATATACATTTAGAATCGTATTACTTTGATAAGTTATTAAAATGCAAAATACTAATGTAAACTAGTTTTGAAATCAAATAGAGTCATGCGCACTTCTCATAGTGCCATCTATGTGCGTAGTAGTGAACTTGATGTTAATCTGATACGTTTTCATAAATTTATTTATACGTTATTGAAATAAATTTTATGTGTGTAAAATTGTGTAAATATTTTAGAATAACAAAAAATTCAATTACAACAAACCATTATTATATTCGTACTTTGTGTGCTAAAAATCATAGACATAATTTAAACTTTTGAATACCATATATAATAAATATAAAATTTACGCAAAAATAATAATCGTTAATAACATTTATGTGAAGTAATGAAACTTACATATGTAACTATGAAAATAATCTTATCAGGGTAACAAAAAAATAGTTCAAAATACGACCACAAGATGCCACGAAAGTGGTCTGCATAAAATTCATTTTTGTCTTGTTACCGTAAATTAGTATACATATAGAGCACTGAGGAAAGGTGCGAAAGGGGTAAACGTATTTCGAGCATCTTCCAAACAGATCAATTGTTATGTATATGTTCTGCTGTGTGTGCTTGCTGTTCGTGACATCATATTTCATGTGAAAAGGAATCCGAACCTTTTAATGATAAAGCCCATACGCTCCTGTTACGGCATAGCGTGATCATAGTCATGGCGACTACTTCGTTGCGGATAGACGAACTTGTGCAAACTGTTACTCTTCATAATCCTCGAAAATTATTATTTACGGGCTATATTTTGCCCTCTGTGATATTACATACTGTATGGATTTATAGTTGGATTTTTATCTATGGAATTGGCGAATATTATGATGCGGGTTTAGTGGGTATCGCAGCTATCGGCGTATTACAGATTTTCATATGTTTATGTTGCCAGTGGTCAGTGCATATACATACTTTTCTAAATTGTAGCTCGGTGAGTTGACAATCGTTTACTGTACGAATAGTTATATTAATTAAATAATTTGCACGTGTGAATTATGTTCAATATGTTCGTTAACGTGGCAGCCATTCGAACCGGCCTTCTGTTCGTACATGTCACATGGCTGATTGGCGGGAAAATTGAAATTATACAAATTTTAATTTACGAGTACATAACAAAATATTAAGTGATAAAATCATTTTAGGAAAAAGATCCGTATAAGGCGAAAATAGCAAAAGTAGTTCCTACTCCCAACAATGGAAGTTCAGAGCTTGTTAAACTACATCATTCTGAACAACAAGAACCATGGTTTATATTTCAAAAAACCAAGTATTATTGGAATTCGGAGAAAAATAGTTTTGAAGGCCTTCAGTTTCCAATTAACCATTCTGTTAAACACTATTCTGAATGGAAAGGATACTTAGATGAAAAAGATATTGCAGCAGCGGAAGAAAAATATGATAAAAATAAGTAAGCATATTTTTTTATATTATGGAATGTGAAAACTGTTTTTTATACTTTTTTATTACTTTTACATAGATTAGATATGGTGGTACCGGAATTTAAAGAGTTATTTAAAGAAAGAGCAATTGCACCATTCTTTGTTTTTCAATTATTTTGTGTAGCATTATGGTGCTTTGACAAGTATTGGTATTATAGTATCTTTACATTGATTATGCTCATTATGTTTGAGTGTACACTGGTGCAACAGCAACTTCGAAATATGGCTGAGATTAGAAAAATGGGGAACAAACCATATACAATAATGGTTAGTGAATATTGTAAAAAAATAAAATCTATCCAAAATGTTTTCAATAAAATTATTTTCATCAAAGGTTTACAGGAAAAGGCGGTGGCAATCCATGTTTACTGATCAGTTAGTTCCTGGTGATATTGTATCTATAACAAGATCTCAGAATGATAATTTAGTGCCATGCGATATGTTACTTCTAAGAGGACCTTGTGTAGTCGATGAGAGTATGCTAACAGGTAAATAATTACAAAGGATGTTAATGTATACTTACCGTATATGATATCTTTTACATGCCTTAATTGTGAATGAATAGGAGAATCAGTTCCTCAAATGAAAGAGCCCATAGAAGATATAGATGGAAATAGACAATTGGACATAGAAGGTGATGATAAGCTTCATGTACTTTTTGGAGGTACAAAGGTTGTACAACATACACCACCTAGTAAAGGTGTAGCTGGCCGTAAAGGTACCTTAGGAGCAATAAATGATAACTTACATTACTTTAATATCATACATATTTCATATTTATATATGTAAGGTGTTTTAGCTACTAATAATGGCTGTGTGGCTTATGTTTTACGTACTGGATTTTCAACATCACAAGGAAAGCTTTTGAGGACAATATTATTTGGAGTTAAACATGTTACTGCTAATAACCTGGAAACATTTGGTTTTATTTTATTTTTGCTAGTTTTTGCAGTTGCTGCAGCATCATACGTGTGGATTAAAGGTATACAATATATCAAAGTGAATGTTTGACGTATTATATTATAACTACTATTAATTTATTAACCTATAGGAAGTGAAGACCCTACAAGAAATAGGTATAAATTGTTCTTGGAATGTACACTTATTCTGTCATCAGTTATTCCACCAGAATTGCCTATTGAGTTATCATTAGCTGTTAATTCTTCATTATTGGCCTTATCAAAATTAGGTATTTATGAAATATGTGATAATAATAATTAGTTAATTAATTAATTTTAAGGACAGAAAATAAAAATTCTGTTTATAGGTGTATTCTGCACTGAACCTTTCAGAATTCCATTTGCTGGAAAAGTCGAAATATGTTGCTTTGATAAAACTGGTACTTTAACTAGTGATAATTTGGTCGTCGAAGGTATAGCTGGGATTGAGTAAGAATTAAATAGTTTTCCAAAAATATCTCTAAGTGTAAGCATATTAAAGATGCTATGTTGAAGAATTATTAATTATTGTAGTGGAAAATCAGATGTTATGCAAATTTCTGATGCACCCATAGAAAGTATTCACGTACTAGCAACATGTCATTCTCTTGTACAATTAGACGATGGAATTGTTGGAGATCCTCTTGAAAAAGCTACATTAAAAGCTATTATGTGGAATCTTACAAAAGGTATGTTCTTATTTTCTTATATCTCACAAAATATTTTCAATAATGTTCTAACAATATGAATATATTTTAGCTGATTTTATGATACCTAGGAAAGGACAATCTCCTATTTTAAAAATTGTGCAAAGACATCACTTTTCTTCCGCGTTAAAACGAATGTCAGTTGTAGCTGGATATACAACATCATCAGAAACCAATTATATAACCACTGTAAAAGGTGCTCCTGAAATTATTAAAAACATGGTGCGTAATAAATCATAATTCGTTTTGTTCTTGCAATGTATTATAAATATCTTTAATTTAATTTTAGTTGTCATCTATACCAGATAATTATGACTCAACATACTTATCACTTTCGCGACGTGGAGCAAGAGTACTAGCTTTAGGATATCGGAAACTTCCTGGTCCTTTATCTTCACAAGATTTAAGAGAACTTACACGAGAAGACTTAGAAAGAAATCTCACTTTTGCTGGATTTGTAATCATAAGTTGTCCACTTAAACCGGATTCTAAAGCTGTTATCAAAGAAATCGTAAATGCTTCACATTCGGTAATTATTGAACGATATTATTCAATCTTCTAGTTATTTTATGAATAATATAGTTACTTTATGACACTTCTATAGGTCGTTATGATTACTGGAGATAATCCTTTAACAGCATGTCATGTTAGTCGTGAATTACATTTTACAAAGAAATCTGCTACGCTTATATTAACTGAAATTAATGGAGAGTGGATATGGGAAAGCGTGGATAGAAAACTAAACTTACCTTTGGAAATGAAAAATGTTTCTCGAAATAATGAAATTTGGCGAGAATACGCTCTTTGTGTAACGGGAGAGGTAGGTCATAAAAAGATTTAGAAAATTTCATTTACATTGCGTTTATAACATATAACTTTCAGGGTTTAGCGTACTTAAAAGATAATGATCGAGAACTCCTTCGTAAATTGTTACCTCATATCGTAATATTTGCAAGATGTGAACCAAAACAAAAAGAATTTATAGTTGTCTCCTTGCAAAATTTAGGATATGCAACGCTTATGTGCGGAGACGGCACCAATGATGTTGGCGCTTTAAAACATGCTCAAGTGGGTTAGTAGAAATTTATTAAATATTTAGATGTAAAATAAATGATATATATGACCATTTAAGTTGTTATTTAGGCGTTGCTATTTTGTCGAGTCTACCTGAAAGAGTATCTACAGAAAAGCAAGATAATATGAAGAATGAATATGCGATCTCAAATTCAACAATAGCAAATGGTCCAAGAAGCAATCCGAGAGTTTCTGTTAATACTAGAGCAAAGATACAAAAGATATTAAAAGAATTGGAGCGACAATCCATTATAGCTAAGTTAGGAGATGCTTCAATTGCCGCTCCTTTTACTAGTAAAATGTCATCGATTCAATGCAGTAAGTTTCATTATTTGTGGTAGTTTCAAAGTAATAATAGATTATTGTTTTATTAATGTTTGTTTGTTTACAGTATGCCATGTTATTAAACAAGGTCGATGTACTTTGGTCACCACATTGCAGATGTTTAAAATTTTAGCAGTTAATGCATTAATTAATGCATATAGCCAGTCAGTTCTTTATTTAGATGGAATAAAATTTAGTGATGCACAAGCTACATTACAGGGTATCCTTTTAGCTACCTGTTTTTTATTCATATCAAGATCAAAACCATTGAAAACGTTATCTAAACAAAGGCCTCTCCCGAACATTTTTAATATATATACAATTGCTACCGTACTCCTTCAATTTGCTGTGCACTTTCTTTCTCTTGTGTATTTGGTTAAAGAAGCTACTATATTATCTCCAGGGTAAATACAAAATTTCAAGGAATTATATATGTACACTAAACTACTTGAATTAATCGATATTAAATTTTATTTCATTTAAGGAGGAATGAGAAATTAGCAGCTATACTAGCTCCAAGTAATTTATCTAACAAAAGTATGGATCTGGATACAAATTTTAATAATGACGAAACGTTTATACCAGATTTATTAAATAGTACAGTTTACATTATTGCCATGGCGATTCAAATTTCTACTTTTGCAATTAATTATCGGGTAAACTATTTTATTAACTGATATATGTGTGTGTGTTTTGATAAAGACTTTTTGTATTTAATTTTAATTTAACATAATTTTATCATACAGGGTCAGCCATTTATGGAAAGTTTACTACAGAATAAATCGTTATTATACAGTCTTTTAGGTAATGCTGCTATTATATTGGGATTAGCATGTGGATTTTTCCCCAAATTAGCAACACACTTCAAGATTGTAGATTTTCCAAGCGATGTAAGTGAATGTAATCAAAATTAAGAATTAATATTTATAGTTATATTCAGATATTGATTTGTAACATTCATTTGCAGTTCCGCAGTCTTTTAGTTCAAGTACTGATAGCAGACTTTGTCCTAGCATACGTAGTTGATAGAGTCTGTTTATGGCTATTTGGAGAAGGAAGACATAAAAAACTGTGATTAGTACACAATTTATTTACTTCACTTTTAATTTCAGAAGTGTGAAAAATTAAATATACAAGTTCGTATTCTTGTTTCACAAAGAATAACTTGTATTTGTTCATTATTTTCTTTATGTTTTATGAATTATGTTATGGTTCTTACATGGAATACATTGCTTTTAAAATACTGACCAATGTATAATCGAGAAGTCATTACTTAAAAACATATACATTGTTGATGGTTCTATATCAATGACATTTTTGTTGTCCATTAAAAAATCTATTGATAATTCTTTGTAGAACAAGAAATTTAAAAAATTGAGATTATATACATATGTATGCATATGAGTATGTGGTATGTATGTTTTAATGAATGTAAGTATTATCATACAAGGTGAAATAGCAAAACGTGCATGCAATGTGAGTGTATACAAATGATAAGTAAATAATACATAATCTCATAATTATTATATATACCATTGTTTAAAAACAATGTAAGTGTACCTTGAGAACCTGATTTATGAAGATTTATAAAGCAAACACCTCTACTGTATTACGATCATATAAAAAATCGACTTGAAATATTATATAAGAAACAAAAAAATTATTACCAGTAGAGAAGAAGTTTAAAATCTATGGTAAAGTTGTACATGTAGAATGTGTTTACTATACAAAATGACTGTTTATTATACTAAAAATATTCTGTTCTAGTAGAAATTGTTGACCTATGATTTCCGCATTTTGTACAAGTAACTTACATTTTTTTTTTAATCCAAATCTATTCATTAACATCAGAGGAATATATGTAAATGGCTTGTAAACGTCTAAACTAATTCGAACAGTTAATGTAATTTAAGTTGTACTTAGATTCCTGAATTTATATTTTTTTGTTTACTTTTATATTAATTTCATGTAATGTAGAATCAAAGATAGGACAAATATTAATGTAAAGTAGATATTTTTAAAAGCAACATTCCAATTTTGTTTCAACCTTGTATTTAAGGATATAAATAGAGTATAAATGAATAGGAATATAAATGGCTTTGTTTACTAAAAGTATTTGCGTTCCTATTTGGTCGACAAATAATAATGTGTACACATCTAAATATTGGGCGCGATTGCAGAATGCGTATACTTTGGTCGATACTGTCATTTTTACAACAGTTTATACAATAAAATAAATCTTACGTTATAAAAAAAAGAATATTCAAAATTCAACGGCATTGTATTTACCGTGCTATGATGGAAAGTTTTGCATCATATTTTTAGATTAAAAATCCTAAATGGAAGCTGATTGTATATTGTTGCCTTACGAGCGTTTGTAATTATCTATAATGATTATGATAAAATAATTTGTTGTAAACACTAATTCCTTTTCTTACTTTAATTTCCTTAAATTGTTTTAACTAAATTTATTCTACCTATTATGTAAAACCTACATCATCAACCAATGATATGCAAAGACGTACGAAAGTGCCATGTGCCAACAATGAAAAAAGCAACAGCAGCATGGGTAATATAGAAAGGCATATGGTTCGGAATTTGTGAGGTTATCGTTTCAATCTGAGATAGTAGAAATAATTTATACGTGTCATATTGCATATTTACTTGATATTATTTCATTAATGTTTGAAACAACGTGCCTTCGATAGAATTTGCATTTTATTTTCTCAGCTGCTTACTATGCTATGTTTACAAAAACTTTTGCTGATCATCAATCTCAAGTGGACCCTAGGTATTGATATACGATCCGATAAAATGAATTATACGTTTAAATTTTGGTTTCTGCTCGAATAAATAGCTGAATCAGTTATGTCTAGATCGAGGAAACCGGTTACTACATGTCGAGCCTCGAACTTCACGACAGTTGGTCGTTGATCACCGTACACGAATGTTGGCTTCGTTATTTTCCTCGTTTGATTATATTTATTCGCCGTATTATATTTTCGTGTTTTTATCAAAAATATTTTCATCGTGTAAGCTTTTTGTGTTCATAAGCTAACGGGAATACGTGTATTGACATATTAAGTCACTTAAGGAATAACTGCACTTTCTCATCGCGATTTCCGCGATCGTGATTAACGTTCTGTCATTCCTTGCATGAAAAGAACGCGTTCAATTACTTGGTCGATAGTTTCGAAATTATACTTCGGTATGTATATAAATCGGGACCGAATGTGTGCATATAAATTACGAGAAATTATATATTTTTTTCAATTGTTTCTTATATATTATATGACCGGATAGGTGTTAGTTTAAAATATTTGTGAAAGAAATTAGAAGTTTTATGACTCATCTCTTTGTTTCCCGTGTTGTACGAATATCAAGTAGTTTTTTTGTTTAATATTATTTAAATTGTATTCATATGTTTAAATTGGCTAATTGTATACGTTCTAAATATTTGAAAATATTCTTTAGAAGGTTTGGGTTAGGTTTGTTATGTTGAATTTTCGTATATGCGACTTAGAATATATTTTGTTTAATTCATTCGTTTAATTAAGTAGATCATTTGTACATTTTGTACATTTTACTCAAAAAAAATATCAGGTGCTTTCTAATATTTCTATTTAGAAATTAAAGAAAGTATCTACTAAATAAGAAGTCAAGAGGGAAAAGACGGGAGTCAGCACTGGAGAAATAAGAGATTAACCGCAATGTCAGCATTGGATAATTAAAAGAAGATATTTGTTTTTGTAACGTTACCGATCGTTGATGAAAATTCAGGTGTCCGTGACCGAAATATAATTAACATTCCTCGAACGTGCATCAATCGTGTTCGTGATATTCTAATGTGGTGAATGTGCAGAGAAGAGAAAAATTTGGACGTGCAAGACAACTACTAGTAGAGAGCTAATCATTACTAAATATAAGGGAAACTATTTATAAAATTTAATAAATAGTAAACGTTTATCAGCAATCGGTCTCTACTACACCTATTAATCGTTCATTTCAGTCGGTAATATCATTTACTCAACCTTCACGTATGTACTATTTTTATAATACATTGCATGTACTTGCATGTAGGCAGTAGTTGAAAAAAATAATTAAATGTTATCATGTGCCAAAAGACTATAACCTGACATGAAAAATGTGAATCGTGAATATAACATAAAAATGTTGTTTGCTGCAATTGTTAAAATGATCGAAGATGACGTCACAAGATAAAGAAAAATCAAATATAAATGGAACTCCGTTTCCAAGAAAAAGATACAAAAACTTACACATTGTTGTACTATATTTATACGACTGATTAACGTTCACATTCCTGAAATGGTTTATCATAAAATTCTTCTACGTCTTTTTCACTTCGTTTCCCAACGATCTACTAGCCCCTGACTATTCGTATTACCCGGTAACATGATACACAGTCTACTTTCTCGAATTAAAATTGATTTGTGTATAGTCCTGACATCTGTGAAAGATTGAGCGGTACTAATGCAAATAGCGCTAAATTCAAATGTCAAATGTTATGCAACTGCTGCTAATTGTAAGTATTTTATGCAATTACGACAATTTTATGAATGCCTTTATCGTATATAAAACTCCTCTATATTAAAGATCATATTGTCACGGAAAACTATTTACAATTACTTCGATTTCCAACTTGGGGTTAATAAATACGAAACTCGTATAAACGTATATTAATACGAAACTATTGGAAAGTTGGTTTACGTATATATGGGATAAAGTGATAGAGAAACGTAGTTGACTTAGATGTTATATTCGCGAAGAGCAACGTTTAGCAAGTTAACAAGCTTTATTGAAACACTAACAGCTGCAAGTTGCTTTAGGGTTATATGTCAATTACCAATTAGGAATACACACGAACTAGTTATGTGCATTAGTATTCCGCAAACTCATTGTGATCTGATGAACTTCAATGTATCACTTATATTCCATTAACACCATACACGTCGGTAAATTTCCTTCTTTAAAGACTATTGACACTCTATATTTAACTTTATCCTAGTGACAATAATTTTACTTAACTTCTCTTCGATTCCCCTATAAAATGTCTTCTTTACATAGCTTCGTTTATGAATACAAATGAATTTTTGTTATTGCATGTGATAGAATACCAATGGGAAGTGATGCTCGTGGAACATCCATTATGCGTGTGATAGCAGAAGCCATTAAGTTTTCATACGTGTTACTTGACTTCCATTACGCCTATTATCGGTGTTATCAAGCAAATCTGGCTTCATAAATCAGGTTTTCGTTCGCTTGCAGCTTCCCGGGGCCAGAATGCTGGAAACACAGGAGAGAGGATACTTTCATTGGGCAGATTGGCTGGTGTTCGCGTTGATGCTCGCCGTATCCGCCGCCGCAGGATTATGGCATTACAGGGGAGCACAGAAGTCGAGCACGGAAGATTATCTCCTAGGAGGAAAGAGCATGGCTCTCTTTCCCGTATCAGCTTCCCTCGTCGCCAGGTAGTCTTTTCTTCGAATCTTTCTAATTGCCATTGAGTTAAGCTATGAGAATTTTCATCGCGATTCATCGACGCTTGCCGCGCAAAAATACTTCGTATCTTTCCTAACCAAATTTTTCATCCTTGCAGTTTCATATCCGGCGTAACAATCCTTGGAACACCCGCAGAGATATACAATTTCGGGACGCAATATTGGATCACTATTATTTCCATATTCTTCTCGGGCCTCGTCGTGGCGCTTATTTATGCTCCTGTTTTCGTTGCGCTCGGATTAAATTCTGTTTACGAGGTATATTTGCTGTATAAATATTACACAGCTACGTTTATAAAATATCCATGTGCTTTATTTTTGTGATTTCGTTGCAGTACCTGGAGATGAGATTCAGTCGCAGCGTTAGGATGCTTATTTCGCTGATCTTCCTTATCGACGTGGTAAGCGATATCGACGAATATTAAGCGTAATATTGGTTCTAAATTTCGTGTGATGTATCGTAACGTGTACACCAAATTTACGGCGTATAATCGAAAAACTAGAAACTTCGGGCGAAAATGATTCGTTATTGACATTAATTCGACGAAAGATTATATTTGTAACGAAGTTATGTCACGTTACGTTACGGAAACAGGAAACTTTAATTTGCCTCTCTTTGAGAATGGCCAATGGTACGTTCGATCCGATGTTGCATTAATAATATCGTAATAAACCAATTTTAGGTCCTTTACCAATCGATCGTGGTCTACGTCCCGGCGTTAGCGCTAAATCAAGGTATTGCGTGTTCGTATTATTCGTAATAGAATATTAACCGAATACTACTAAAATCTTCCTGATTAATTACAGTGAGCGGCATCGACGTACATTTGATCGGGATCATTGTATGCTTCATATGCGTGTTCTACACTGTTTTGGTAAGTCCGTGTCCTGCAAATTCATCATCACGTGCGTATAGTTTATCGGTCATTAATAAAACGATACAGTCTTTTTCAAGTATTCTTTTCTCGTTGCTCGAATAATGTCACGTTAAATTCGCGACTACTCGCGGTATCACGGTCAATATTCAATTCCGATTACTCCGACTTTTCCAAAATTCAATAACTTGCGTTATCCGTATATTAATAAATTCGACTTCGCTCCATGAGCATCTCGGTCAAAGGAATTCGTATAGATATCGAACACGTAGAAAACTGTGTGTATGCTGTGGCAAAAAAAATTCTGGGGTCACGTATGTGAAGTTAAAAATACTCGCGCAACACGAGGCAAGGACACGTAAATTCTACGAGCCATAAAGCTTGCATATCTGCACGGTGTTTCGTGCGAATGTTTTTATTGCTCTTCTTTTCCCTTAATAATAGTTTCACGAAGCCTTGATGCTCGATTAGTTTTGTTTATACACTTTCAAAGAGAAGCTAAATTAAACTCTGCAACTAATAATGTTATATTTATGATTAAGCGTCAGTGTATCAGAAATTACGCGGTGGTGTTACGAAACTTGCAAGAAGATTCTCACCCGTCCTACAGTGACCTTAAGATGATCCTGAGTGGTCTGCTAATAACCAGGACATGACATTGAACCAACTTAGAAATAGCGTTAGTATTTTCTTTCATGACCTAGATATCTTCACTAAAAAAAGCTCTCACATTCTACGTAATCACAGATATACATGTATACATATATACTCGATGCTACAAGTGACTCCATATTTTACGATTAAACGGCAAGAAATGCGAATCACCAGGAATACTCAGCGAATACCTTACTAGAAGCCAAAACGACAATAACGATTCAGAAGCATCGAGGCCTGAGCTCGTTGAACGGATTTTATTAGGAGAACGCGATCGCGTTGAACGATCATGACGAAGCGGATTCATCGTGGACCCTCGAGAAGTTAACAAGATGTACCGCGGTGACGGAATACACGTAAAACGAGCGTAGAGCAGACTAGAAGTCAAGTCTCGACCGGCTGACTCGGCCTAGGTATATGCGAGCTAATTTTCCAAGGACGCCAGTTCAGCGAATTCTCCCGGGGATAGCTGGAGTTCCTCGGACGGGAGGACGCCGGTAGCTGGTAGGAAACAATTTTCGGTGGACAATGCCGCGAAGAATCTCTCACGCGGACCCGGCTACTGGAAATGTTTATGGACGGAAACTGAAAGCTCGACAATGGCCCGGCGGAAACAATGGCGCGGAGCACGTCGAGTGCTCGTTCCCCGTGGTAGCAGATCACAAAGCCAGCGCCGAAGTGATTAATCGCATGCTCGCGCGCGCTTGTAATTATTCAAGCAATTTGTTGTAGCCCGCGAATTAATGAAAATTTATCGCGGCCCAGTGACTCTTTGGAAATTTGTTTATTATCACCGGCTGCTTTCGCGCGTCTACAAGCTTGTCCTTAACGATCACATCCACCGGGACTGTAGCCCGCTTTTTCGTGCGACCTTCGAGAGGGTTCTTCCGTATAGTTGATGGTTCTTGTTGTTGCGGTAGAGGAACTTTGCGTAATGACGCTTTACAGCCGAGGGATACGCTACTTTTTTCTAGTTTCAAGTGTAACGATGGATGAGACAGAATTTAATGAAGGGGTAGTTAGTCCCGATTGTTCGTGGCTATTGATAGATACGTAGATGAAAGGTGGGTTAATTGGAGAATGTGATTACTAGGGTGGTATCAGGGCAGTAGTTTGGACGGATGCGCTTCAGGTTGGAGTCATGATTGCTGCTGTTCTAACTGTCAGTATACTGGGTACTTATCAAATTGGCGCCGCGGAAATATGGAAGAAGGCCCAGGACACCAATAGAATAGAATTCTTAAAGTAAGAAATATTCAACGTTATGTTAGAAAGCAGAATGAGTTCATGCCGTGTTACTTTATCTCTTCTCATTTACAGTTTTGACCCGTCTCCTTTCACAAGACACACGGTATGGACTGTGTTAATTGGATCGTGGCTTTACAGTACCGCATACATAGCCGTGAATCAAACTATGGTTCAGCGGTATAGGTCGTTAAAAGATCTGAAAACGTCCAAACTGTAAGTGAGTACGCCATTAATTTTTTGCAGACGTGAAACAGGTAGTATAGCATTTGTATGTTATCTATTGCACATGTAATTTCAGATCATTAGCGATATTTACTATCAGTATTATGTTATTCATATCATTGTGCTGCTGGTGCGGCCTGGTACTCATAGCCTGGTGGTTTCCGCCTAAATGTGATCCTAGAGCATCTGGTTTGATCACTGCCGATGATCAATTATTGCCCGCTTACGTAATGGAAATTGCACAGCATTTACACGGGATACCAGGTCTTTTCATTGCCGGAATTTTTGGAGCAGCTCTCAGGTAAGTTCCATATATTCATTCTTATTGTATTTCTATTTCCTTATATCCTGTTTTGTTTCGTTTTAGTACCCTTTCTGTGGGTTTTAATTCAACAGCAGTGGTACTTCTAGAAGATTTTGTGAAGGGTTGCTTCGGTATGAAACCGAGTAACCGATGCTCCACTATTTTTGTAAAATGCGTGGTTGTTTTGCTTGGTTTCATAGCTGTTGGTTTGTTATTCTTGGTTGAGAAATTAGGAGGAGTTTTAGTTGTAAGTATCTCTTCAATGAACTTGTTTATTAGTTGCATATTTGTTGTTAACAACATATTGTCATATTTTTAAATGCAGATAACCGGAAGTCTAGCAGCAATTGCTGCAGGTACCTCTTTTGGAGTGTTCACGTTAGGTATACTCTTCCCATGGACAAATTCCAAGGTGAATTAATCATAAAAATTTAAAATTTACTTCCGCTTGCACATTCTTCCTTTGTACGCCTATTTAATTTGATATATCTCGCCAGTATGATCATAAGAAACAGATACAAAAATTAACAATTTCTGTTCCGTCCATTAGGGTGCGTTCGTGGGTGCTATTGTAGGATTCGTGATCGCTGGCTGGGCGAGTTTAGGTGCAAATTGGTCTATCGGTGCCGGGCTGCTAGTCCCTAAGAAACTTCCGGTGCCCCTTTCTCATTGCCCTAGCAATATCTCTGAAAGTTTCCTGAAGCAGTTTGATCGTCCGGAGTAAGTCAACCTTAGTTTCAACTGTAATTATTATGTCTTTCGTAATCAATTAAATCCTAAGTAGACATTAGTGTTATCGTTGAAAGATTAAGGTTTCACGGGAGACCAAAGACAAATTGTTCTATCACTTTACTTGAAACTGGATACGACATGGTATTATTATGTTACTAAACAAAATTCTTCTTCTCTTTCTAGCGAAGAAAATGTGTTCTCCTTGTATCGATTATCGTATCATTGGTTCACCGGTTTAGGCACGATAATTGTCATCGTCGTAGGTAATTTGATTAGTTGGATAACTGGTATTACGGATCCTTCCACCATTGACAAAAGATTGCTTTCGCCAATAATTCATTCGTGAGTTGATAATAATATGCATTTATTATTCGATGATTAAGGCAACTATTATAAAATTTCATACTTTTTAGTTTGCTGCCGAAACCTAAACAAGAAAATAGCGTTCATATTGAAAGTACTCCTGGAAATACCGAATTAGCCACGACAGCAAGTCTCTTGCTGTACGACTTAAAAAAGAAACGGGTAAATATTACGAAATAAATATTAAACAAATTGTTCGGCTTCAACAATTCTTTCGTTTCTGTTGCAGAGAAGTCAAAATTTTCCTAACGGCGTCACAACATAGTCCATGGATCATGTTTCAATAGTACACTGAACATTTACAAACAATGAAACTAAACCATTGCTATGCCGTTGGTACCGGTGCTCTGGATGGTTCAATATCGAAAGCAAAACTCTCGAATTGGGCGCTCGCTTCTCGTTCGAACCCTTTTCGGTACTTCTTTAGGTCTAGACACCATTGTAGACAATAGTGTTCGTGAATTGTTACAAGTCGTAGATCGACTTGTCTAATTAAACCAAAATCCACGTTTTTTATACGCACAGTTAATGAGATGCAGTTACTACACATTTATGAATAGTTTTATAACTTTTAGGAGATTTATAAAATAAATTTTTATATTATATTTTGTGAATCACGTGTGCTTTATATTACGACAGTCCTTTTTATTACAAGCCTCTTCCAGTTCTTCCAAGTTAACCCATATCAAATTATTTTGTAGAAAGTAACACTGTGATTCCCAATGAAAATGAAAACTTCTTAATTATCACAATCATCGCTATTAAATGATCATTCAGGGTGGAATAAAGTCAGCCCATAAACGCGTCAAGCTGCGTAAGAGAATCGCGAATGCGGAGAAGGACGGGTTTTGCCGGCAGGTCCGGTTGCTCCTCACACCGAGTTCTCTAACTGAGTTTGTTCGGTTTTCAAGCTTTGGTGATTCCCGACGGTGTCCGCCGTGCGGAAGGTGAGCGAGTCGATGGAGAAAGAGAGAAGAAGGAACAGAGAGAAGGACAGAGAGGGTAAACCAAGGGGAGCCAAGGCCCCGGGATATTAGCCGGCTTGTTAAGGGAAAGCCAACGCCGTCAAACGTCCTTATTAAGGCCACGCAAATAGCTGGTACGCTTCTCCGCGTTTATCTCTTGACTCGGCTTCCTGGAAATTCAATTTTCGCCTGGCCAAAACGCGCCTGGTCAAAAGCGGTGTCGTCCTCCAGTTCGATATTGTTCCTGCTGCTGATCGTCGAGATCGATATCTCCAGCATCGCCGCACAGTTTTTGCGCTGACGCTATTGACCTGCCTTGCTTGAATACCTGGATGAAATGACGATAGGTGACTCGGAACAGATTCGTTGAAGAAAGAAGCGGTTCATCGGTGAACGTTTCCGGGGATGGCTGATACTGTGACGCAATGGGTCGAAAGTTCAAGCTTGAAAGCTAGCGAAGACAGTGTTGTTGAAGAGTGTTATAATTGCTATCGGTCTGTATCGTTGTAATAGTCACCTATTAAAGATACTAATGAAATAGAAGTATCTGAAAATGATCCCTGCTTATTATAGTAAAAACCAGAATCTCAAACCTCATTTTCAGACTCTATCTATACGGTATCCACCAAGAAGACTATCTAATAATACAATTTTCGTGATTTGCCAGAAGATTGTTATGTCCTAGAATTTGTTTCCTTGAAAGTGGGTCTTTTTCTACGAGAAAGGAGTTGAAATACCTCATCCTATCCCCTGGGTCGAAGCTTAACGATCCTGAGTGCATTCTTTTTCTGGCGGTGCCGCGGGACGAAGGTGCGTGTTGAATGGGAGCGTAGCCGCGAATTGCGCACGGTGCATGCGAAGGTTTCATTAAGAGAAGCGTGCGACACGTAGCGAGGAAAAGAAAATTGCGAGTTGCGGGCCGCGTGCGGGGCTTTATTAAGCGCGCTTCATGCGCGATTTGCATTCGTCTGGGTCGCTGATAGATTCGAAATTCCCACGTAGAACGTGCCACGGTTATATAGGGTCGAGAATTCGAATCGGGACGAATACCCGGTGACGCCAGCTGAACGTACCTACGTAACCACGCGTGATTGTGTCGACGAGCGAAGCGGGTCGAACAGAGAACGAGAATAGTGATAAGGGATGTTGGGGAAACGGGTTGAAAGAGGAGAGGTAGTTGGTAGCGGTTCGAAAGGATAGATATAGCGAAAGACGAGTGAATATAAGAGAGAACGTGGATTTAAGAAGGGGGAAATGAAGCAGTCCCGTATAGTCAGGAAAAAGGACACGAAAATCAAACGGGTGAGGTGCAGTAACGATGGGGAGAGGGGTTAGAAAAGGTGCAAATGGGGGAGGGATGTGTGTTTCTAAAAGGAACGGGTAGGAGCGAAAATGTATGAATTTACTAGATAGGAAATGATAGGAACCGGGTTAAACGAGATACACCAACTGGCCTGTTGGTTGAAAAGAAAATGGAAACATTAGATGGGCGGAAGTCCAGATAGCGAGACGAAAGGATTCGCGAAAACCTCAACGAGAAAAACGTCTCTGGAGAGAGTTGAATAGATGGAGCAAGATAAAGGATGTTAAATGGAAGGCAAAACATTCGATTCGCGAGGCGAGATAGAAAAGAGCGAGAAGGCTATGGCTATGTGTGTGTATAGAGCGAGCTATCGCATTAGGAAGGGTAAAGCGAATAAAATAGAAGATTACGTGTGCGGCGAAAGAGCCGGTCGAAAATTAGAGCGGGATACACGACGTGTAGAAGAAACGTGCGGCAAGAAATACGTCGAATTCGAACGGCGAACGAGGATGGAGTTTTCACTGAGCAGGAGGGAGAATTGCTCTGTGAAGTCGGTGCAAACGAGACGCGAGTTGGGAGCAACGGAGAAGCGAAGTTTGGGGATGAACGAGACGCACGGGTACCGGGGAGTGTCGGTGAATGAGGGTTGGAACGAGCGAGACACAGGGGCCGAGCTGGTAGATAGAAACGGATAGAGAGAGGTCGTGGTGGTTTGAATGGGGCTAGTTTGAGATAGTTAGCGGGCCTTCAGAGGCACAATCGGCCGCGATTGGCGGGCCTACAATCACACGTCGCATTATATGTCCATCAGCGCAGCGGATCTTGCAAATACGTTAGCGCGTGAGCCAACGAGTTACCGTCCGCAAAAATCTTCAATTCAAACCGTCGTCGATGCGGATACGGGTCTCTGTGGTCAGACATGGAAGATTCTTAGACACGTTGCAGTTCACGTGAGATATCGTTATGTTGTACGTGCCTTCTAAAAAGAAACATAAAATTCGTTAGAAACGTTAACAAGTAGATTTGATACTAATTTAAATCCGATGAAGGAGGGATTAGTACAATCATAACAGGTACCTTAAGTTTTTGTTAACTCTGTCTACATCCGAGGCGCAGATTTCCATTGGAAGGGAAGACAAATAGTAAGCGATATTAAGTGAAGGCACATCTGCGAGGCAATACGCGATTAGACACAGAAGCACGGGAGCAAATATTGTCTTTTCTAATCTGTCGTTAGAGTCGCACTATCTTAGAATTACCATGGGATAGGATCGAATTCTTAGAGAGTTAATTGGGTCCTGGCTAGGGATTTCGCGCGAAGATTCTCCGAATGCAAAGACAAACGAGAATGGTCATAACCCTTAGTCTTGTTTACCCAAGGGTAGAGTTACATTCAAAGGATGTACTCCGGAACTGTTATCCGATGATAAACGGGCCAGCTACGCCTTCTATTAAAGCTTTTCCGAACTAACATACTTACGTAATTTATAACATAGTACAATCCCTAAAGTTTCACGTATATCAAATTACACTCGGTATATTAAATAATATCAGAATCGTATAATAAGAATAAATCAGAAAGTAAATACAATTTTGTAGTTTTACGATGAACCCTTCCAATTCCTTATTTTCGAATCTGAAAAAGAGTAAAAAGTACGATTAGAAAATGTTTGTATCGAACACCATCCCGAATCATCCGGTATACGTGGGAAGCCGAATGTTGGGAAAGCTCCAAAGGTCTTCAATATAAATAGGCATGATTATTCGAAACCTCAAATCAAACGTACCTGGAGGAACAGCAGCAGACGACTGACGGAATAACTAATTTATCAATTCTTCGCTTCGGTTGGCTCCGATACCTATGGCTATATTTGCGAACTCGTGTAAACAGACCTCCGAACTCTCAGGGTATGTTGTCGCGTCGTCGTTGTATTTGGCTACGGAAGATCTCCAGAAAGCCCTGGGCTCCGATGTTAACCTGCGGAATTACGTATTCTTGTATTCATTCGTTACAATATTTTGCATCGTCTTAATTTACAAAACAAGTTGCATCGTATAAAACAGTAATAATATATTCGATATACTACATATCGAAATTGTTATAATTTAAAATAGCACAACGCGAACAATATAATCGTTAATGAAAAAAAGAAACGTATAATTAGTCCGGATTATTATTACTTTTATATGCACGATGTTTAAATTTTCACATTTCTGATGGAAAATATTTTTAATGCTTGAAAAAGCAGAGTTTCAAGAAACGCCACTCGAGGGATAAAAAGCGCAAAACAAGCATGCACGCGTGTAATACGGAACGAGAGATGGAAAATCGGTTTATCTCAAAAAATGGGAAGCGCAGTAATGATGCCAATTAATGCAGATCGAGTGGCGCCATCATGGATGGTGGCGGGCTCGCGTTCCGAAATATTGTTCGCGATACGCGAGATCGTTAGAATAAAAATTTCCCGCGCAAACGTGACGTATTAGCCGGGCGGATAAGTCATAAAGGCGCATAATTATCAGTAGAACGTTCGATAAATTGTAACGAAGATAGAGTGATACACTCGTGAAAGGAGCGTGTTTAAAGGGAGCCGTTCCGCTAATTGAAGAAAATTGCACACACGAAAAGGCTTTTAATTAAATTGAGCGATTCAACGAACGAGTTGTATTTATCTACCGTTTTATCGAAATTAAAAAGAACCGGTATTTTCGAGAGAGCCTATTAACAATTGTCAATGCTATTTGTTACTTTTTGAATATCCGTGTCAAATGAACCAAATGAATTCTTTTGTTTCGTAATTTTTAAAGAAATTAATGAGAAATCTTTTCACCGTTATTCGTAATAATTATTTAACGTTTTATTTAAAATTTAATTTGTTTTTCTTCGCTACGGTTACGATTCATTAAGAAACCTTTCATTTGCGTCGACAAAGGAGAACGAACGAATACGCGACGCGTCGAAAATTATAATTCTTTTACGTACACTTTTACTGGTAAAGTATATACGAACTTTAAAATGTTCCGACACCGAACCTAAAATTTTTCAACACGTAAACACGAACGGTGTTGCACGTGACTATTATTAATAGAGAAAGAGAGAGACAGAAAATCTAACCTAGTCGATTGCGGTTGTACCGGCAATTTTATCGCTCGTCAAGATGAAATTTATAACAGTTGTTGCATTTAATTTGTTTCGGATGATCGTATGGCTTTCGAATCCTTTTTCATACACAATTGTTCCATTTTTGTCGCGACTGCGTAGTAAATTC